GTGTGTCGAGTACGTCGCGAGTTGTAGCTGAGAGTCCTCGAGAATACGTGGAGTTTGAGAACGACCAGTCGGGAGCTGTACTCCGGAAAGCAGAGTCCGGGGTGCAGGGAGGTCGGGTTGCTTGCAGGAAGCTGTCTCCACCGTTATTGCTGACTTGTGACGGCTGTGTTTATGTTCCAGTGTGTGATAGTAGATCTTCGATGACTGTAAAAGTGTTTTGGAAGTGTCCTGATTAATTTTGATAAATAAAGTGTGTTTCGATACTTCATCAAATGTCGTTGTTATTCACTCCAAATCTACGAACCCCGTACGAACATGAAGGAAGGAAAATAACGTAACAACTGGTGTCAGAAGAAGAAAAACGCAACAATATGTATCTTGAATTTTGTACCTTGAATTAGTGCCTTTGAGGCATGTTAGGATGAGGTTAGTAGATATTTATATGAGTGGGGGTGAGTCAATGTCACCCTCTGAAGCTCATCAAGTAAAAACAGCATTTTTGATGAGGTGGCTGTATGGAAGGTGGGAGGAGTTTGCATGTTTCATGGGCCTAACAAAACTGACTTCTGCAGTGTCTTTGAGAAAATAGGTGTGTAAACTTCTCTGAACTGGTTTTATTTTTCTTTCCCCATAAGTAAGATGATAGCACTGTATGATGTCATACAGTGCAAGCATCCTATTTGTGAGCACAACAGACTTTTCTTTCAGCAAACCATTCATAATTTGAGTCTTGATTTTTCAAAAAAGTGAGGCTCTCAAGTCTTTTCGACTAAGAACAAATTTCGTTCTTTGAGAAATGTTGTTTCATATCTGAAAGTTTGTCAGGTGCAGAACATCTTTATGTATAAATTCATTGGTATCTTTTTACAGCAATAAAAAACAATCAACATTTTTCATGTTAAATTAACATGCAAGCCATTTTAGTTATTCTGATTGAAGTATAAAGTACTTCAGTAAAGAACTAAAAGGGTCTGTACTGAAAAGTACATGATCAAATTGTGGAATGTATGATGTTTCATAAAAGAATTCACATTATTTACTTCACCAAATATTTTTTACTCTGAAGAATGCTGTGCAGAGAACAACTTTAATTTCACTTTTCTCTGCAGTTGTTTTATTATAATTTGGAAAATGGATTGCAGTATAGTCCTCCATATAGTTACAATGGATTGCAGTATAATACAATCCATTGTAACTATATGGAGGACATTCATGCTCTTATAATGGATGTTAATGTTTCTGCTGTCGTATTACTTGAAGCTTGTTAGTTACGGATGGTCATACAAGACTCCGAATTTTTGATTGTTTATCACGTTAGCCACTCTAACAACCATTAACCCGTTAAGGGCCAGCACCGGAAGGGCAAAGTGCAGTCACAGGACCGGACCCGCTGAAATTGATGGTTGCTACCAGCCCATGCATTTTAGGCAGTTAAGCCTAATTTTACAAAAAAAAAAAAAAGGGGGGGGGAATTGTATAAAATCAGCATTTTGATATTATGACTTCAATTTTTGAAATTGTGTATTTAATGTACTTGTTTTTAATGTGTATTAATATAAAGAATGTCACATTAATAGAAATAAATTAAACAGGCAAAATACTAAATTCATAATTATACACACAGAAATAAATATTATAAACACAAAAAAAATTACAAATACAAAATTAAAAAAAAATAAATAAAATAAACAAGAATTATCTGTAGGTAAATAAATTCCAATTTAAAAATTCTGCTGCGTGTGAAATAATTCAAAACAAGGACTGACACACAGTCCTACATTGCATATTTTCCATTCAAAATACGTTGTTTGCTTTCGCTTTTCCTTGGTTTTAGTGCACACAACACATCTTCTCCTACCTTTATTACCTTTTCCGTCAGCATAAATTTTCGGAAATTGTCTTCCAGTTGGACGGAAAGGTGGAGTGTCCAGTGATTTTGGACAAATTTTTAAGTTTTTTAAGTAAGGTCTCTTAGCCATGGCCAATGGATTGAAACTGAATATAACCCCAACACATGTCCCAAAACTTCTTCAAAAGACACTCAGAAATATTTCATCCTCAAACACTGTGTGACATCAGGTTTATGTTAGAAAACTTCCTGTTTTTCTAAATCAGAAACAGCATCCACGATGACCGGAGAGTGATCAAGGAAAGATCCCTACTGGTGGGATATCTGTTACTGATCATGTCAATATATACATTATATGTAAAGTAAATACATTATGTGCCAAAATATAATGACCTATTAAATTGAATAAGAAAAACAAAAATGCTGGCTCTTTCCTGAGAAATGTGAGCAAGACGCATTATGCATTGAGAAAGCTGATAGTCTGTCCCCTTCTGTAATAATGTTGTAATGTTACTTTTTAATTAACCAAGAAATCTTGTGTTGGGCTGGTAGAAGCTGAATAGTTGTGTCGCGTATATGGGACCCTGGGCTGGTAGGAGTGAAATTGTTACGTCGCGTATACGTGATGCTGATCCTGAACAGGTTAAATTCAATTTAATAAACTAGTTCTTTAAATTACATCACATCTTTGGCTGTCAGTGTGTATTTTCATATGAGAATTAGTTGTGCAAGATACACCACTTGATAACCCAGGGATTAATATCCACTAATTTTAAATGGTGCAGATTGAATTAAATTATCTGAATTGGGGGAGAGGGATCAAGTTCTTCATAATTTGTGATTACATGCATGATGTATTCTGGAATAAAGAAAATTACTTCATTGGTAAGTTTGATGTGTAGGAAAATGCATTTTATGATAAATATTCTGTGCTCTCATTCAAAGTTTTAAAGCTACTTTGGGGATTGTTAATGTGATTGTTTATTATTTGAATTTGGTTGCTTCTTTCCCTTTATATGTTATGCTGATGTGATTTGTTATTTTTGTATTAAAAGTTATTCTATTCATATTCTGTAACTACTTTAATTTATATAATGGTAAAGAATTTTAATTGTGAATAATTAATTCTTCAAGAATTCATTGTTTGAAAATGTTCCTAACAGTTATTTTGGTACTCTTCTGTTATCGGGACCAGATTCTGAAATGTATGTCTGTATGCTGGCTCTATTTATGTATGTGCCTATATTTGTTTATGTATACACACATACATGTGCATAAATATATATATTTACTAGTAGATTATTGAATATATTATCTCCTTGGAAAATAAAGTAGTTAAGTTAGAATTCTATTGTAATAAACTTACTCATTAGTATATTTAAAATTGAGTAATTAGAATTAAGTAATTATTGTTATTGACTGTAAATTAAATATGGATGATGTGTTCATGCATATATATTATATATATTATATATATATATATTGATAGTAAATCGTAATGAAGTAAAAGTCAGAACATAAATTAAATATAAATTTAATGCTAAGAATTATAAAGTTCTACCTATTTCTTTCTCCAGGAAATGGTTATAAAAACCGACTAAACGTGTATGAAAGGTACAATTAAAAACAGAATTGTTAAAAGAAAATTAAAAAAACTACAGAAGAGGAGACATAAAGATACAAATTGCAATAAAATTCTCATTTGTTTAATGCTTAAAACAGAACTTGTTTAGGAAAAGTGTTTTGAAGCCTTGAACCATGTTGTTAAACTATGTTGATTAATGAGTTCCGAATGCATGTTTTGTTTCTCTGAACCATTTGAGATTTTAAATTGCTTTTTACTTAAATCATAAATTGTAAAAGAAGTTTTGAATCGGTCTCAAATGCTCAGTTCTTTCCCCTAAATGGGGCCCACCAGTGGCCGAGCGGTAAAGTCGCTGAACACTGGTAGTTCGGTCCGAGGTTCGAATCCCATGAACGGGCTGGCTGCATGGATGTTTTCGTAGTTTTCCCCATGTGTAACGTATATACGAGCCAGTTTCCCTTAGAAAGTCCTCCACGAAAGCATCCATTTTCTTAGGCAGATAGCCCTAGTGTGCTTTGCCATAATTAAATACACTACACCATCACTTTTCCCTAAATGCATTCGTACTCAAAGCAAACAAAAATATACAAAAAATGAACTACCCAAAACTGGATACAAATGCTAAAAGTAGCTCAAACAACTAAAGTAGGCATTTAAAATTAGTTAAATTTTCTTTTAACAATTCTGTTTTTAATTGTCTCTTTCATTCACGTTTACTCAGTTTTTGAAACCATTTCCCGGAAAGAGAAATAAGTAGACCTTTATAATTTTTGGCACGAAATTTATATTTAAGTTACATTCTGACTTTTACTTCATTATGATTTACTATAAATTTATTATGACCTAGCAGCTTCAGCACAGATTCATCTCTTCTTTTTTAATTTGTTACTGCTTCAGTGATGACCATTCTTAAGAGTATATATATATATATATGCATACGTGAACACATCATCCATCCATCCATCCACCCATACATGCATACATTTCTTAATCCGGTCCTGATAAGAGAAGAGTGCCTTTTTTACTTTCATCATTATGGATATTTGCTATGTTACTAAAATTTCTCATTCATTTCATTACAGCAATGTAAAGCTTTGGTATAGTTCATATGTGATTTTAAAATATTAGGCAGGAATAAGTCATATGATTATTGAAAATAATGGAACAGAATATAAATATAGGGAAAAGGATTACAGTTTGTAAATTCTATTCAATGTTCTATTTAATTGAAATATGTTATTTACTAAAGAAAATGAAACATTATTATTATTATTATTATTTTTTTTTTTGTATTGCATTTTGCAATTATTTTATTTCCCCTTTTCTGGTATGTAATATATTTTAGTTCATAAAAAATCATAATAATTATTTTCAGTATGTTTTTTAACAATGTTACTTTCTTTTTTTAATTTTATGAAAATTTTGTGAATATCTGTAAATTGGGGGACACCCAAATTAGAGTTACTGAGGTTTAATGGATTCTAAATTTGAAGCATAATAATAATGCAGTATTTAAATATCTTTATATAATAAAATTAATTTTATAAAGTTCTGTATATTTTTCAGGTTGTTGTGTTGTGTTGTGTGTGATGACAATACTTTATCTGTATTTTCCAATAATGGACGTCGTTTATATCCTCCTATTGTTTTAACATCATCTGTTACTCGGTTATCTTGTAGTGATCAATATGTTATGGTAATAACATCAAAAGGCTACTTGTCAGTTTGGTAAGTTAGTTATAGTTATTTATTGAGTTTGCTAAAATATATTGGTTACTGTTAAATCTTTCTGTATTTTGTTTATTGTAAAATTTTACTTTTAATGTTCTAGGATACTTATTAATTTTTCAACAGTTCTTATAATTTTAAATTTTAATTAATTAGTTTTATATGCATTTTTTTTGGTAATTTTTATGTTTTCAACACAATTTTTAACTTCCAAGAAAAATTTAAGATTATGAAAAATAAGTGCATTAATTAACCCTTTAATGCACATTTTATTGAAAAAGCTGACCATGATAGTCATTTTTTAAAATTGAGAATAGTAAAATTTGAATCATTCTTGAAAAGTTTCTAAAAGTGTCTAGCAAGCATATGGGTAAGGGTGCATATACATTGATAACATAAAGTCACCCAAATTTTAATTTAGGCATGTACACTAAGAGGTTAAGCATCACTTGTTCTTATATGTTCTTCACTATTTTTAAACCTCTATTTTTTTTAGGTAACTTTACTCAGAAATATGAACAGCAAAATGAACATAATATTCTTTTGTTTTCAGTGCATCTTTTAGCTATCAAATATTAAGTGTATTTTATTTCAAATAAAATTGTAAAATGTTAAAGAAATTCAGATACCCCAGTCTTTAAATTTCTGAACATAATTGCTCTTTTTTTATCTGCTTTTAAAATTATTCTATAATGAAAAGTGTTTAATATGAAATTTTTATATAACTCATTAATTACCTTGAACTTTATTTCTCAAGTTCTTAAAAATGATTATCACATAAAGGAATTAAGAATCATATAAAGCATTTTATCCCAGAAAATGTATAGTAAATTTAAATTTAAATGGCATATGAAACTATCAAGATTCATAAATGTGAAGGTATAATGCGAGTTTTTTAAACAAAAATTTCATCCCTGAAACTCTTTAATAAACATATTGTTATATTATTTAATATACATATGGTATATTATTTAATATACATATGGTATATTTATGATATATTGGTATTTTAATGCTTGATATTCTCTTTTAGCACTGTTACTGTGTTATAGCCATTGTTGTATATTTGTAACTTTCTCATATAATAAGGCCTGCGTTTGAGGTTATGGCAAAAATTATCATGTTAACAATTTAATTTTCTGTAATATCCTAAGTTTGATGAATGTATATTTATTTCATATTATTATAACTTTATGTAAATCATTATTTATATTATCATATTTTTTCTTTGCTAGGGATTGCTCAAAAATAAAATGTTTAATACAGAATGAATCTTTGTTACCTATAATGCAAGGTATTTTTATATTTTAAAAAATATATAGCATGACTTAGCATGACATGTAATATTTAAAAATAAAATTAGCATGACAAAATTTGTGACTTAAAATTTTCCTTTAGTTTTTAAAATTTATTTATAAATTTCATTTTAGAAGATACAACTGGAGATCTTTCTGTACGAGGCACTGGCCTTAGTGACAATGGTATCCCAATGGTTAGCTTGTCAAATGGAAAATCTTATGTATTTAGTGCAGATATGAAAGCCTGGTAAATTTCCTTAATTATTAGTTTATTTATTTTTTGTATCATTAAAATTCTTTTGATCTAAAGAAGGTTTCAGAATTTCCAAATTGAAGAATGAGAAGTATTAAAAGATAAAATATCCGAGAAGTTCATTATATATGAATTATGCCCAGGGTTCAAATCTTGAAAAAGGCTAAGATGTCCATAAGTATGTGTCTGTACGGTTATGAAGACACTTAATCCTCTGAGTGGCATGTTTTTTTTTTAATTACTTATTCTATTTTCTTATTTGGTCATTCATTAAAATAATATTAAGATCGGTAAAAAATTAAAGAAAGAGAGAGAATTTTCAATACTAATATGTACTAAGCGACAGGGAATTCAGTAACTGGATAAAAGCAGCCATATTGCTTAGGGGGTTAAAATATCATAAAGCTGAATGTCTTCTTGAAAAATTGATAATTGAAGAGGAGTAGGAGATCCTTGAATGTGTCCCTTGAGGTATTTTTCATCAAAATAAGGATAGAACTAGGCAAAAGTTATATTGTCGCCTATATAATATATAAGACAGTAGCCAGCAATACTCCCTTCCTCTTGGAGTAAATTAATTTGTGAAACTGATAAAAATACACACCCAAAATTAGAAGCATAGGTAATAAAAGGCATATAAATTATGCCTTTTAGCTAATTAGTAGCTAAATAGTTAGCAAAATTTGGCTGTGCCTAATTACTACAGCCAAATTTTTGGTAATTTAAAATTTCAGATAAGCCTGCTTCTCATGTTAACATATTGCTGACCAGACTGCTGGTAGTTAGTAAAGGCTGGCTATAAGGCTTATGTGCTCAGATTTGAATTTTAAGGCAGAGACAATTGTTACTGTAGTGTCTTTGAGAAATAGGGGTGCTTAAAATCTGTTGATGCACATTTCTTCTTGAAAAGGTGATGGGGAATGAAGAGAGAAATAAAACCATCAGCTTCCATCTCCTTTTGTCTTATTCAGATATGGAGTGGATTATGGCAAATAGCAGTATTATTGGAAATAAGTCATTTACTTTAGATTACTGTAAATATTTTTTTTTAACTGCAGTGTGTTAAATAAAAACATTGGTTCTCACACATTCATTGCTAATATTGGCATCCGTTAAGCAATATTTCATACTTTGCTAGCTAATGATTCAGTTTAATGGCTTATTGAATAAAGGATCCAAATTGGTAGCTTTTATATTTCACATAACTCAGGAAGATTTTGGTGTAATGTTGCAAATGTAATTATGGTTAATAAAAATAATTAATATGTTATCTCTGTTGCTTTACTAGTTTTTCTATGGAATTTAATGCTTATTGGTTGTTAAATTCATATCACTTTATAACAATTTTTAAATGTTTCTTGAAATGATCAAGTCTTTAAATTTTGGAGTGTTCTCAATTTATGTGTAGTCTTCATCATTATTGGAAATGTGTGAATATCACCAAATATGGAGGGAGATCAGCTCCAAATTTATATCCTAGGAAAAATTTGTTTTTTAAGATTTCTGTATTGACAAAGAGTAAGTACTTTTTAAAATTAATAGTAGGTTTACTCGCAGCTGAATGGATAAGATCACTGAATGTTATTAGTCTGTTAGTCTGTAATCTAGTCTAACTTAGTTTGTAGTAGTGTGATTTTTGTAATTACTGCCAAGGAAATTTAAATTACTGCCTGTTAGATTTTCACAAAAAATTCTTTAAGATTTTTCTGGATGCTTCATTAATGTATATTGTATTCTTCACACTTCTCTAAAGTAATTTAAAATATAAAGTCTCATATTCCCATACGAAATCCATTTTGGATAGAACTTGTAATTTCAAAATCTCTTTAATGTATTTCTGCTGAAGAGTTTTTTTAAATTGGTTTGCTTATATCTTTTTACTGCTGTACTTTTAAAAATGATAACGGAAAACATTAAGATAACTTGTTTACTTTTGCTGCATCCATGGTATCATGGTCATCTAGATCATCATCCATTTGTAAAATGCTAAAACTACCGTATTTGCCACCGTATAAGATGCATTTTTGTTCTTTGAAAATAGGTCTGAAAAACGTGATGCATCTTATACGTTGATACTCAGTGTTTGATTACATTCATTTCTGGAAATTTCCTCTATTCTAATTAATCAGGTTTAACCTTTAGATGTCAGCATTAATAAATCGTTTAAGGGATTTATAAAGGAGAAGTAGAACAGCTGGATGGAGTCTTCAGATTTTTAGGTCATCAGGAAGAAGGATGGGCCTAGCATTTTGCAAGTTTGTGAATGGGTCAAAGCTTCATGGGATGCAGTTAAAACATATACAGTGGTTAAATCATTTAAGAAGTGTGTCATTAGTAATGCACTGGATGGTACAGAGGGACAATTTGTTGTATGAGGGCTCAGATGATGATTTAGAAAAGGTTTCGAGTGACTCTTCATTTAGCTCTGAGACGAACAAAATTAAAAGGCATTCTTTCCCAGATAGATTGGGTATTTGCAGAAAGTATTACTTTGCATTTATATTACTTTATATTTAAAATACTGTAAATGCATTATAATGATCAGAAATAAAGTTTTATACTTAAAAAATCTGTATAAAAAAGGGAGTGTGTCTTACACGCTGGTAAATACAGTAATTGGAGCATTTCATAAACATTTCTTTTGCTGTAATATGTCATTTTGCAGTATATATTATTTACCAATGAAACTGAAATAAATAATAGTTTCTTTTATAATGTTATGTTTAAAATTGTGAGGAAATTTACTTTAAACTGCTCTCTGTATCTAAATATTTTATGGGAATTTGAGCATTTGCTTTTAGGTTATTGGTGAGTAATGCAAATAATGCTCTTCAACTGTGCTCAGATCACCAGCTAAGATTTTCTCCTCAAGATCTTTCTAATGGGACAATACTTCCCCTTGCTGCTCTTCAAGGCCAAACCCAGAGGTAAACTGTGTATTTGAATTTTTTAATATGAATGAGATAAAAAAAATATAAAGGCTAATCTTACATATTCATGATATGGCAGCAAAATGATTAAGTGAAACAGTTCTCATTTATGAGTAATTTACATTTATTTAATTTTTTGTTTTGCTTTTTATGTTGATTGGTTTAAATTTTATTTTTGCAGTAAAGCCATGCGTTTAGCGAGAGGCATTCTTAATAGCGACCCAAATGTGAGACAGATTGGAACATTAAGTCATTTAGATTGTCAGTTAGCAGCTGCATTGAGTTTGCACTCCAGTAAAGAATACAAATTTTGGTTACTTTCTCTAGTCAGATATTTAGTACAAGAAGGTATGTTTTTCTCACTTTAAACTATACGTTTTAGTTAATAATTTTATGTTAAAATGTAACTTCTTTCTTGGCTCATAAAGGCTGAGACTCCGCCAATCCGTACTGATTCAGTGGAGGATTCCGTGAATCAGTAATGCTAATGGTCAGTTAGATGTTGTAGAATCATGGTATTTCATGTTTGATCGTAAAATATAACACTGTACATCTTGTTATTATTTTAGCCTACTATGTATAATAATTCATATTTTATGTTAAAATATAAATTCCATCTTGGCCCATAAATTTAAACCCCATGAGTCTAGACGAGGGATTTTCAGCCCTTTTTGCGCATCAGCTCCTTTTAAAGGAACTGTCTTTTTCATCGACCCATTAAAATTTTGTCCTCTAATATATGTAATACAAATATTAAATTATTGAATAATTTTTTGCCTTTGTTAATAAAATGTCGGTCATTTTAAAATTCCTTAAAATTTTTAAATATTTTCATGTCGAATGTGAAACTGTCGGCAAGCAGCATGATTTAATGCCAATTCTGGATAAGCATGCTGTAACTGTACTTACTCTCATAACATCTGCTTTCATTTGATATAACCTCGACTAATTCTCGATAAGCCACATTTTGCTTTTGTGAACAAGGAGATCAGTTAGATGTACAGGACTGGCATAAATGATTCATTCGTTTTGAAAAGGCTATATTTTCTAAAGTATTACACATAACACATATGAAAGCTATATGAAAAGAACCAAAACTCACCAGGTTTATACACCCTCTACAAATATTCAATATGTGCCCCTTTGGTAACACGACACACATCCAGACAATAATTGGGCTTATTCCATATATTTTATAGCATAGTCCTGCAATTGTATGCACTGCAGCACTGATGCCTTCTTTGAGCTCGACTAAAGACTGCAAAAGTGGGTTTACATAAAGTAGGTCCTTAACATACCCTTACTGGAAGAAGTCACAGAGCCTTAAATCAGGGGATCTGGAAGGCCAGGGGAAGCAAGCTAGGCCATTCTCATCAATATGCCCAATCCAGCAATGCAGAAGTTCATCGTTTAGGTAGTCACGAACTGGGTTTGTGCCAATGAAGGGATACTCCATCTTGTTGGAGGACAAAATTCCTGAAGTCAGCACTGAGCTGCCGGAACAACCACAACTGCAACATATGCAGGTAAGTAGACTAGAAGAGAAACACGCTAATGTGACAATATAAATCGTAAAAACAACCTTGTATTTAGCGTAGGTATAATGAAACACTCAATCGATTTCGAGGGCAGCTAAAGGTCCCTCCTCATCAGGAGAAAGAAATACCTAGAAAGAAGAAAATAAAGGAGAAGGAGTCACAGAAACACGTGGTCCTTACCAGCACTGCACGTGGTTATAACTAGATTTTTAATCAGGGTTGCACTGGCCGCCTACTTTTACTGAGCCAGGCTATCTGATCGAGCATGAAAAATTAGCGAAGTTAAAATAGGGAGCGAGGGATGTAAAAAATAAATTTATTTATTTATTTTTTAAAATTTATTTGAAGTTCAGATTTTGAGTGTGGGGTACATTTGTCCCTCGCTCCCTATTTTAACTTTGCTAATTTTTCATGCTCGATCAGATAGCCTGGCTCAGTAAAAGTAGGCGGCCAGTGCAACTCTGATTAAAAATCTAGTTATAACCACGTGCAGTGCTGATAAGGACCACGTGTTTCGTGACTCCTTCTCCTTTATTTTCTTCTTTCTATGTATTTCTTTCTCCTGATGAGGAGGGACCTTTAGCTGCCCTTGAAATCGATTGAGTGTTTCATTATACCTAGGCTAAATACAAGGTTGTTTTTACGATTTTGATATGCAGGTAACTTTTACCGGTGGCAGTTTACTCAGTGAAGAAAAACGTCACGTGCATCTTTGTGACACAGTACAGAAAACATTAACCTGTGGTGAATCTTTTTCAATTTCCATGATTGCAAGTGTACATTTTCATCAGGTACTAACCTCGTACTGCCACATCCAATCGGAAAGATAATGGACTTAGCCTGCCATCTGGAATACAAACTCGGTGAGTTTGTGGTTCTTTATATATATATTTCATATGTATACATATAATACTTTTTAAAATATAGCTTTTTCAAAATGAATGAAAGATTTATGCTAGCCCTGTATTTTCCTTCTGCATTAAAAAAAAAATGATTAAAATTTGCACTTTGCCTTCTACAGAACAGCGAGCAGTGGATTATTTTCAAAGTTATAGGCTCCTACCATTAAAAAAGTGTGTATTAATGAACACCATGTGGTCAGCAGAATATAGCCGATCGAACAGCGATTAATTGAAACAATTATCTACAACAAGATTATATTAAAAGTATTCTAAACAGAGCTTTTTCGGTAAAATGCAAAGGTCTAAAAAAATGGTAGAAATTGAGAAAAGCGTTTTTACGAAAAGCAGAAATAAATTGGGTTTATTAATTGAAACAATTATCTACAACAAGATTATATTAAAAGTATCTAAACAGAGCTTTTTCGGTAAAATGCGAAGGTCTAAAAAAATGGTAGAAATTGAGAAAAGCGTTTTTACGAAAAGCAGAAATAAATTGGGTTTATTAATTGTTTCCTTCAGGTACGCAGAAATGAAGGGCATAATGTCCCTCGCTACCATATAAAATGTGCCAGTTTATATGGGCGATGGTAACCAAAATTTAAAATTGATGAGATAGTATGTAAATACATATTTTTATAATAAATGGTAAAAAAACCTTCATGTTGAGCATTTTAATTATGTAATAATAATTTTTCTCTGATGGATAAATGTTATCTCATTTTCTTCATATATTTACAAATTATATATTTTATTGTTTAGGTTTAGAAGCAAGATTGCGTGATCTTTGTGATAGTCTTCTTGGACCTGTTGTGAAAACAGCCAAAAGCTCTGAATGGCAGCCAAATATAATGGTAAGAATAATAGATAATTTATAATAGCATTGTAAGCCATATATATAACTTTATTCAAAGTCACTGTTATTAGTTAAATTTAAAAAATTTTTAATATATAGGTTTACAGATGTTTGCAACAACTACTATAGGATTTCAGTTTTCAATTAATAAATTTCAATTTTTTAAAAATCTTTGTTAAATTTTCTTATTTTATTTAGCCTTCCATAAAGTGCATGTTCCATCAATGATGTAATAGAATTGTGGTCGTTTTATAAATTCTGCTTGAATTATTAATTAATATTTGTATTGTATTTTTCATTTTCATTAATAGATTATGTAATCCTTTTATTTTAGAGTATTAATTATAGTTGTCTTTAATTAAATGATAGCTTCCTAACTTGAGGGCTTTTATTTAAATTTTTTAGAGGGGGAGGGGGTAAAACAACTTTCTAAAGTAAAGATAAATCATTTAATGCTAATTTTTGTAAAAGTGTTTCTAAATTTTTGCTAAATTTATAAAAAAATATTTTTAATAGATTTGTGTAAATTCATGGAATCATTTGTGAAATGAAGGACAGTGTAAAAATTTTTATGTTTATATCTCTTTTTCTTATTTCCATAACTTTGAAGAAAGAAGTTTTGGTAAACTTTTATTGGGTTAACAAAGCTGTACATATGATGGATTGAAAACTTTTTTGGTGATGAAAACTTTGAATGTTGTCTAAAAAGTTTGTGAATCAAAATATTTTTAAGCATATGATGGTAAAAGAGCCACTATTTTTATATTAAAATATAACTAAATTTATCACTTAATTTTTTTTTTCTTTTTAACATAGGAATTACAAAAGAGAGACCTTTTAAAAGATGTTTTACTCATTGTTGGATCCAACCTCCGATTTCAGAGGCTGTTTGTTGAATATAGGGATCAATTAGAAAATACGAAAACATAAATGAAGTATAAATTCTATATGTAAAGCAAGAAATGAAAACTTGAACCTGTGGGATATCAATACTGCCATCATTTTAAAGACCACAGAAGTGCTCAAATTGTATTCTAATAATAGCTTACTCTTTGTGAATGAAATAAACTATGTGATGTCTGTTATTTGTGAATTTCAACTACATTATGTGCATAACTGATCAAGGACTATCCCATGAGCTAAGCTGTATTTCGTTCTATTTTAATAAAAGTGTTTAAAGTAAAGAAAAATTATTAAAATTAATTTATTAGGATTATATTAATAAATACAAATTTTCATAATTTCCTTCCCTTTTTTTCTGATATTTTTCAGGGCATAATTCTGGTCAAGAAGTAATTCAGTAAAAATTTATTTTTAATATTTTGTTTTTAAATATTAAATTTTTGACCAGAGTTTAAAAAATTAGAAAGTATTATTAATGATGTTATTTGAATTTTTAAATAGTTATTCTTTTGCACAATCATTTTTCTGTTTTTTTAAAGAATTTACCAAGAGTTGGTTGTATTAAATGTCTCTTATTGTACAATGAATAAAATGTAATAAAAATGATTTAAAGGGAAAAAGAAAGTGATTTAGAGTGAAAAAAGTGATAAATCTTATCTACTGCAGCTTGTAAATGATGGTTGTTTAAATCTGTTCATTACTGAAGCTTGATAATTTAAACAAATTTATGTTAAGTGTGAAGTTTTACATTCCATTTTACTCATTATTATTTTAGTTAAAACCATTTATGTTCTTTTGTTATATTTTCCATATTTCGTCTGATTTTATCATGCTTCAATTTATTGCGTAATCACTCTTTTTTTGTTAAACTAAAAATACACCTAAGAAATTTGACATTGTTTTTCAACTTTTCTGCAAGAGATTTAATTGCATGAAAAACAAATCAATAATCCATTTTTTTTTGTGCCAAATACATAGAAATAGTTTATCTTTTGCATTCTAAAGTTGTTAATTTTTAACTGATGAAGAAAAGAAAAAGGTTTTAGCTCATGGAAAAAAATGATAGTGAATTGCAAGTGATATAATAATGTACTTGATTAAATAATTATGAAATGTGTTTTCTTGTAAATAGTAGTTCATAATTTTATTAGAATTTTACTTTGTGTTTATAACATACATTTTCATCATTAAACTATATTGTGATTATAATTTTCCATGAAAAAGTGATACTTTGTAAATAGCCATTGACAGTATGAAAGTGCATTATCATCATTTGTCTCTTTTAAAGAACTATGACAAAGATATAAGCAAATTTAAGTAATTGTCATTATTTTCTACTGCATTCAGATTGTTGTATAGTGAATGTTAGAATAATAAATTCCTAAATGTCAGTAATTTTTGTAATCTTTATTTGTTATTTTTTCAGTTAGAAATATTCTTTGATTTGTTGAAAAATTGTATATAATGCCTTCGAATTTACATTCATGGATCAAAATTATTTAATAAGATGCATAATTTATAGTAGTTTTTATACAAAAGAAATAACTACGCAGTCCTGCAGTCCTAACCATTCTCAGTTCTTGAGTAGTGTTCATTGTATTGTTTGCTAAATAAAAATACACTATATTTTAGTAGCATTTTTAATTATAAATTTTTATTTTGCATGTTTTGAAATTTCATGAAATATGTAAAAGACTTCTGTGACATATCGTATACTGTTATTACAGTGCACTTTAATTTTTAAGCTCTGTTGTATTCATCATCAAGTGCAAATGAAATTAACAGAATCCTTCAAAACACAGTATTTTAGTCAAAACAATAGCACTTTTGAGAGAACAGTTTTTCTCGGGTATTAATTATGAAAATATAGTGTTAGCCGGGCTAAGAATGGTCCTGGGAGGTTTAGAAATAGGAAATGCAATAAGTTACCTTTTTTTTTTTTTTTTTTTTTTAATCTTCGAAAAAGTTTAAAGACAAAATTGCCTTTTTCCTTATAAAAATTTCACTACTACTTGTACCTGTGAAGGTAAGTCCCTAGTTTTCATTCCTCAAAGGTTATACAGTGTGATTCTTTTAGAACTGACCTATTTCATTGGGCTATAGTTTTTGTTAAAAAGTATCCGATTTTAATGCAGTTTGTGGCAAAAGATTCAAGAAGCACAGAAATTTAGTGGTCCATCCCGTTTTTTGATGTGGAATGCCGAAAAAAAGAAACAAGAAATAACAAAAACTGCAGAATGCTATACAAGGAGGGATGGCTTGGGCCTTTAAAACATTGTTAAAAACTAAAAACTCTGATTGTTGCATACCAAGCATGACAAGTAAATATTATAAATTAAATATTATTTATAATCACTTACCCTACAGTAGGTGTTGAAAATGACCACCCTCCTGGCATAGGGATAACCGAATTCGCCACTCCATGTTGGCTGCAACACTCCACAATGTGCTGCAGTGATGTTTGCTATTTTCCTAGAAATGTTGCCCTTTAATTCATCCAGTGTCCGTAGTTTATCATGATAGACACAACCCTTCAGAAAACCCTGTAAGAAAAAATCTGGTGACCGAGGAGGCCACAAACTTTTGGAAATAATGCAGTCCCCGGAGAAACTCCTGATCAAATCTGTACTTTGTTTTGACGTATGGCATGTTACACCATCATTCTGGCAATACCCCTCAGTCAGTTCGGCGTCATCAAGCTGCTCTACAAATTCATTAAAAACGTGCATGTAGTGTTCGCTGCCTCGAACTTTATTGGGTAAAAGAAAATGACAAAAGTAGCAATATTTTAAATACAGTGTGAATTGTGATTTTGGAACCACAATAAGTGCAACGAGCATGGAAAACGGAATATTTTAGTATTTAACAGTTTCAAGAATTATTCAAATAAGGTATGGTTAGCTGCAAAACATACAATGATGATGACGATGGAATGATTTTGTTACCTGGCATACCAGTATACTTCCGTAACAGCTATGTTTCTGAAACCACTCATCTTATTATAAAAATTTTTATATTTGTTATGAACATATTTATTAAAATATGCAAAAAAAAAAAATTTAAATTATTTACATCATCACAGTTGTTAATATATAACAAGAGAGTATCTGAAAAATAATTTTATAATTCTATGCCATTAAGTTTCAATATTTTCTTCTTATTTAGTAGTCTTCGCATTAAAATTTTATGCATATGAATAAATTATTTAGTTTTAAATGAGGTATTAAAATACATTTAAGATGTAACACTGTACTATTTAAATCTGAATGCAGCAGTAGAATTGGCATGAATATATTAAAGATTCATTCTGTATAGGAGTGAAAAAAAATTGTGAATAATGAGGTTCCTATTTCACATATTTGTCTCGATGAATTCAATGTCTAAAATATGTTGTAGGTAGTTTTATGTACTTTACCTCTGTATTTGTTTAAAGCAAAGTTCTTTTAGTGTACAGAAGTGAGAAAATTTTATGTTTTTCTGTTATGTAATTAAGGTTTCTTTTTAAATTCATAATTGATTTTGCAGTTAATAAAGTTTACTATTTTAACAAGTTATTTTCACTTAATGCTTCTTCCTGTTTATTTTCCCCCATATAGTGCTAATAACTAAGAATATGTAATATGCATAAAATGTAGTTCATTTTATGTGCTTTTCATTCTTAAAAACAAATTTTAAGTATTATTTAATTTTTTTTTTCCTAAAAGTTGAAATGAGGGGAATATTATGTAAGTAATTTAGTTGCCTGAAACAATATTAAATATTTAAAATTGGGTAAAAACAGATGTCTTAGTTTGCTGCAGATTTGGAATAAAACTCTGCTGATTTTCAGGGAAACTAGAAACAAGTCCTTTATCTTGTGGAGCAAAAGATTGCTTTGCAAAAATTGGACCTTGATGGATGGCACTATGTTTATTTTTGTTATCCTCTGCCCATAACTTTCAATATAAAATAGTTATGTAGCTTACATATTTTTAAAAATATCTTTGTTTCCGAAGAAGGCGTATTATGTCTGATTGCCCTTGAAATTGATAGAGTTTTATTCAAAATGTGTGCCAAACTAAAATTGTTTCTTTGCCCAATTTTACATTGGTGTGTTTCTCTTTTATTTTGTTTTAATATTTAATTTAGGGAGAAATTTTGAAAAATTTTTTGTCCTCCCAATTCTCCATACCAAAAAATAATGTGTTATAATTTGAATATTTGTAATTTCTGATAATTTTAAAGTCAGTATATCGCACATTTTAATTCAGTATTTTAATTCTTTGTAATTAAGTTTTTTTTTTTTCAAATTTTGCGTAAACATTAATTTTTTGTACATTATTGTGTTTGTCAAATTTGAATTTACTTGTGAAGAGTGATATTTTAAATGTAAACTTTTTGTTTTGTGTTGCACAAATCTTGTTACCCTTTATAATTTCTTGCTTTATGTTGTTTTTTCTCTGAAAAATTTATGAGTTTTGTAAAAAAAGAATGATTTTATCAATGCCGATTAATTCTGATTTAATGCTAAGTACATTCGTAATTAATAACCATACACATGGAAAGGAGTTTAAACAATTTTTCCATTACCTTTATGCGAATTAATTTTTTTATCATTTGTTGCATAAGAATTATTAGAGAAGCAGCTATTTATAAGTAATTGTAAAACAAATATAATTCATAAAACAAGTTCAAGTGGAAAACAAGATTGAATGATATATAAAATAGTTATCCAGTTTTAATGTGTTTTTAAATTAATGCAATGGAAATTGAAATTTCATGCCTAAATATTAAAAAATTAATGCATGTAAGAGGATTATAAAATACTGCTTTAAAAGAAAATTTTCTTTGCCAAATGCATTTTCTGTGGTATTCTTTGTATAATACTTTTTTAATACACTAGTGAGTATTAATGTATTTCTTCAGTTTTGAAAATTTTTATTAGTAACTCAGCCAGGTAAAAAAAAATAAAGAATGGTGTAATGATTTAAGTATCAAAGCATAATCAATAATTACATAATTTTTTTATCATTTTGTTTTTGCTTATGAAGTTAGAAATTTTGCCTATATTTTTAGCTCAATTTTTAAATTTAGTATATGGGATTATTCTTTTAACGAAAAATCTGCTTAAAATTGCACAATAACGAAGAAACAGTAGGTCCAGAAAAACTTGTAATACCCTTATTAATCATCATTGTTTTTTAGAGTCACAAACTTGTTTTTCTCTTCTTGTAAACCAAAGCATGTTTATATTAAACAATTCATATGTGTGTATTATATCTAACATTGTGTATGTATTCTTATTTAAATGTTCTGTGAAGTAGTATATATGTGTCTGTCTTGTGCATGTATTTATGTATGTAATTTTGTATTTTAAAACATTGTAAATTAGTATATTTTTGGAGGCACAAAATTTAAATGTATAAAAACATTTTGCCTCTATTGCAGCAGTGAAATGATTAATATAATTATTGAACTTAGTGCCATGTAATTATTTGTATTAGGCTTTATTCATAAAGAACATGCTATTGTATTACAGTTATCTCTTGTTTTGCTATTTAATGGAATTATCCTGTTTCTTTCATAGCATGTGGTTATATCACAAAGTGTTTTCAAGTTTTATCAAGACAATTTTCTTAAAGAGAGAACGTCTTCATATTTATATATTTCTCCCTCTGATTTTAACAAAGAAAATTTTTAAATGAAAATAGGAACACAAAATTTGCAGTACTTTGAGAAATAAGATTTTACTTCTTTTTAAGGAAAAGAGCTAAGTTCCATCTCTTCAAAATTTGAAAAGAAAGGATATCAAATATCCTTGGAATATTTTGTGATGTGTGAAGAAAACAGATTCAACAGCTTTCCACATCCGGTCTCCTTAGCATGATATTTTGAGCATTTTAAATGTCAAACAGAAAAGAAATAGTTCAAATACTCTTTGAAATGAAATCTGCTTACCACTGACGTGGAATTTAACCTCATATCAGTATCATACATTACATTATATTCTCTGTCATAAAAGCTGAAGTACTGAAATTGATGTTTTTAAACTTGTTACTAATTTTTAATCTTTCTAATTTTCTGATCTTTATTGCCATAGTTCATTTGTTGATATCAAAAGTGTTTTCTGTAAAATTTGGTATTCATAATATGTTATTAGAAGATGGAATTGTATAGGATATGCTGTGAGCATTAAAAATTAAAAAAAAAAAAAAACTTTTATCCTAGTACTGAAGAGAAAAAATAATATATAATTCCGTTAAGATTTTCAAGCATATTTCTAATAGGAGACTCTCTCACATTTGGATTAATTACATTAATTTATTTAAATTTTGTGTGATGAAGCTTGTTGTATGAAAAAACCATTTTAACAGTAAATGCAAATAAATATTTTAGTTATTATTCAGCTGCTGCTGTATTATGATAAGGTGCTTCAATAATTTATTTCACATTGTGATAATGAATAGAGCTCCTATTTAGTTTCGATTATTCTTCTAGAATTTTTAAGTGTATGAAAAGCAATAAGTATTAATAATAATCTGTGTGTAATAATATTGTGAACTACAGTAATATGTAAATAAAAAGTGTAAGAAAATTTTCAAAATATACTTTTAATATTAATATATTTAATTTCATTTGCTACTTTGCTTTAAGAAGTAAGCTGTTTTATTGAAAAAATTCTTTTACTTAGTTTCCTAAGTTTTTGTTAACAAACAGTTAAATAATTCAAAGTACTAAGTTACTCAAATATTCAGTATATAATCTGGTTTTCTTTTCTTTTTATATACTTAATCACTAATTAAAATTTTAAATGTTAACATCTGAAGGCTTTTAATATTTTTATTTTATAATATTAATATTTTTATTAATATTATAAATTTAATATTTTTATTTTATAAATAAAATATTAGTTTGTATTTTAATGAAAAATTTTTACTGTAAATTTTTAAAATTGTATAGAGTTTGACAAATTGTAATGTTAATTTATTTTTGATCATCGTTACTTTTATTGAGAAAAGGTTAAATAAATTCGTCAGAAAATAGGATCTGTCTTCAGTAAGTATAAAAAAATACTCTTTTGCGTCATCTGCCTTTATAATGTAATTTTTCTTTCTTTTAAGCTCTAATTCTGCTTCAGATTTTAAATGCATTTAATAGGAATATTTTGATGTTCTGTAACAGTTTAATACTTACCTTTTATGTATAGAATTATGTGAAATTTCATTGCAAATATGTTTAAAATTTTAAATAATTATTGTAAAGTATAATTAAGATGAAAATCAAACCAAACTTGGGGGGGGGGCTACTCACATATGTATATGCAATAATTTAGATATTACTGCCATGGTAGATATTAAAAAAGAGCTGATTCATAAAGAACTAGATGTAATCATGTCAGCGAACACTTTTTGTTCGTAATAAAAGCATTTTGATTGAAAAGCAGCTAAATTGGCATAAAAGCACACCTTTACTTGAGCAGTTACACTGGTACTTAAATACATCTTGGGGAAAAAATAACGGCAGACAGCAACTTTGGAAGATAGCATACCTGAGAGGATGTGAAGTTTTCAATATGAAGGCCTGGCTTAGAATAAATCAGGTTTGATTTGCCTTTATTTTGACTGGTAAATTTAAGTTACAGTTCTCAAATTTTAATGTTACGATTGGTTGAAGTATTATTTAAGTATCTAAAGAATTTTATGAGAAGATTGAATTTTTAAGTGACACTTTGGAATATTTATTATAAGTAACTTATTTATTTAAAGATGGAAAGAAAAAATAACTAAATAAAGAAGAGTTAAGGGGCTATTGCAAATTCAAGTTAGTTTATCTTACCTATTTTTTATCTTGCATGCACACACACACACATAATATTGTAATTAATTTGACTTCTGTAATTACAAAGTATCGAGGTGTTTCATATCCTAAATTTTCTCGTATGAATCTTAAAAGATTCTTGAAATTTTCAAATCTGTTATGTAAGACTAATAATAAGAATGTAAAATTACCAGCATTAAAAGCTTAATTATATTAAAACAAAACTTTAAAAATCTGCATTTAAAATATGTAATTTAAACTCTTAAAGTTGATTTTGTTAATATGATTTCACAAAGATTAACAGTTTAAATTTATAGTTAAATGTATTTTTTTGAATAGGGGAAAGGCTTATGAAAGCAAAGTAAATAGCTAGTAATGAATAAAATCACGTGGAGATTGTGATTGCTTATTTTATAATTTAGTTATTGCCTGAAACAATGAGAAAATTACACAAAGAGAAATAAACTCTGAACAGTGCCTCCTTTTCCTATCAGTGTAAGAAATGTTGGTATTCTAATACTTTATTTTTTTCACTTATAATGCATAAAATATATATAATTGGAATGTAGTTAATGTGAAATAAATATTAAATTTATAGTATGTAAAAATTTGTGAAGTTATTTTAAATATCTTTAATGCATAAATGAAGAACATTATAAATACTCTTTCTTTGTAAATACATTAAATGAAGCAACATTATGGATATTTTAGTTTCAGGTGAAGTTTGTTTACTTTTAACGTTTGTTAAAGATTAGAATCTTTATTTTTGTAGTGAATCAAGACAAGCATAGTAAAGGTAAATTATATAAAGGTAATTATTTGTATAATTTAACAGTAGTTAATGCAAAATAAGCTGCTAAGTTAAAATGATCGTTTGAATCCATGAAGTGATATTCCAGTTTAATGTGCTATGAGTATCAAAACCTATGAAATTCAGATTTATGCATTGATATAATACCACCAAATCTCCTCCACAACAATAATATTTTAGTTTTAAACTTTGTTCACACTGAAGTTTATATTTCATTCTGTGTTTTGTGTATACATATATAAAATAGCAGAACTCTTAAGATTGTACATTAAAAATAAGGAAATCTTTTTATTTCCACTAAACAAAATGTAAAACTCAATTTAGTTTTATTTGTTGAAAATAAAATGCATGCACATTTTCAAGTTTAGCTAATATCAAACCTATTGCGTGTTGGTCATATGTAAGAAGCACTTTTTATATTTAAATAATGACCTGTGGGCTGTCCAGATGGTTAGGGAAACCGACTGCAATACCCAAGGGCCAGGGTTCGAATCCCGGAGAAGGCATGTTTGTAAATGTCCTCTTCGTAGGAGGCAAAGGTGGCCCACTTATTAGGTGCCTCTATAATAAAGTGACCACCGCTTCTGACCTTAGTAGTGGCCAACATCTATAATAACTTAAAAAAAAAAAAAAAATGACCTGTAGGTACGTGTACTAAATATAGAATGATGTTTCTGTTAATATTTAAAGGCTCGATACTCTTGTTATACAGCATGTGATGATGTGATATTGCCAGTATATATATTTGCCAAATGGTGTGTGATGAGATGTTTTTGAATAAATGAAATTAATGTGTGTGTCATATTTACTGTTTCACAATAAAGTATTTTTTATTGTAAGCCAATAATTATGTCATTCACATTCACCTGAAATAATTTAATAATTCTTAAAAATGCACATTGTTTATTTTATCTTTTTGTTTTTCTCAGATTAGTGGAAAAATGAAAAATGCATAAATTAATAGCAATCTTCAATTTATACGCCTCCAGAAGAACAAGCTGTTCAGTTAAAGGGATTCTTTGTACATATATGAATAATACAAATTATTAAAAAAAGAAATAGAAATCAACAAGTTACCATCTGTTTACATCTTACTGCTAATTTAGGTGTATGCGATAGTTAAAGGTAACTGCAAACATTAATATTGGGAATGTTATGTATAGATGAAGTATAAAACTTTATTCAAAGTTCAAAGTGTGATGATGTTATGTACAAAACTTTATTCAAAGTTTTATCTTTCATCTGTACATAACATCATTTCAGTTTAGAAATTGTAATTAATCTTTTATATTTTGTTTTAGAAAGATGAAAAAAAAATCATTTTATTAAAAGTAGAACATAGGTCAAGTGTCTTTGAAATGGGTTGGCTAGAATTATGTTTTATGCAATGCTTAACAAAACATTATCAAATTATGGATAAATTCATCCATTTGTGTGGTCTGAATAGTTTTCTAGCATAAAAATGAAAATTTTTGAAAATAAGTAATTTTTAAAAGTTGTAAACTAATAATTTGCAAACAGTAGATTGCTATTTATCCTTTTTGGTCATTATATGTAAATTAAAATTAGAGCTTGAAAACTTCCTCTTTATCCAGTTTATAAAAAAAAGTAAGATAAAATTAGTCAGTTATTGTCATTGTGAAAGTGATTCTGAGAAATAATTTATTACTTATGAAACCTGTTTAGTTAAATATTATAATTATAAAATGTAGTTACTTATATAGAATATAAAATTGTAATGAATAATTTTTCCTTTTGCTTATTCTTGTGTACAAACACAGAAAATGTGTGCTTGTATATAAAGTTTTAATTAAATAGATTTATAGTATTCTAGGTATGATTTAGTTTTTTGACTGAAGCTCATAAGCTGCATTAAATATGCATGAAATAATTTGATGTTATAAATGTCTGCATATTATAAAGGTAATAATTTATATATACAAAATATGTATTTATATTGTCACGAAATACATACTGTAAAGGAAATGCTTTAATGTATGGTTTTATCATGAACTTTATGGAATGTCATTTATATGATCAAGTAATAAAAATGACATATTTAATTTTATTTAATATTTAAAAAATATTTTATAGTTTAAGAATGTTTTTCATTTTACTGTGAATAAATGTATTCAGATTTTTAAAAGTATTTTGATATTTATATGATATTTATATTCAGCAATATAAACTTGCTCAGGAGTAACTAATTCTCTAATTACAAATAACCATTTTTCCTTGAGCTGCACAGCAGAGAAATTTATGTAACATTTTAAATTTTACATTTTCTAACAATTGTACAAATTGCAGAATTTAGAAATGTGCAGTAAATTTTGTAGCTGTGTAGGTATGCAAATTAAAACATTGCCTAATACACTTTATGCAAGAAATTACAGTTTTTTGCAGGTTGAATGAAGTATTGGGCTCTCGAGCCCATATAAAGTGTGCTATGTAATTATACATATGAATTAATTAATGTAACTATGCATGTGCTGTTTATAGCAACTATGTACAAATGAATTGCTTTGCCTTTATTAATGCAGTTAATTATTTCTTAAATATGTATAAAGCTAAAATGAATATTTTAATTTCATAATACTAGTACTTAATTCATTTAAAAAGAATACATGAAGACATTAAACTGCATTATTTAAATAAAAAGTAAATATAACCAGTATTTTTAATCTTTGTATTTTATGCACTTGTCTAGGAACTTCTTTTCCTGTGTTGTGTATGGTTCCACTTTTCTTACCTTTCTTTGTATTTTAAATTTTTTATGCTTTAATAGACATTTTGTG